TAGCTATTCCTTATAATCACTGGACTCACAAAGAGAACAGAATTGGCTTCGTAGTTATATACTCACTGACATTTTTTTTCTCCAACTTCGGTCCAAATGCAACAACGTTTGTTGTCCCAGCAGAAATCTTCCCTGCCCGATTAAGATCAACCTGCCATGGCATATCTGCTGCTGCTGGAAAGGCTGGTGCTATTGTAGGAGCATTTGGTTTCTTGTATGCATCACAGCCTAAAGATCTGAGCAAGAGAGATGCTGGCTATCCAGCAGGCATTGGTGTGAAATATTCGCTCATTGTACTCGGCTGCGTCAATGCATTGGGAATGTTGTTCACTTTCTTAGTGCCGGAAGCAAATGGAAAATCACTGGAGGAGGCATCAGGTGAAAATGAATTGGATGATGATGAGATAACAGAGCAGACTGCTCCTTCCCACAGGACTGTTCCAGTTTAATAGTCTGGTTAAATATGTAGTTTGAAATCCTTAAAGAAGAAGTTGAATTGCCAGTTTAAACACTTTAAACCATGTAAATACTTCATTTGCTACTCTATACGATGTCAATCTTGTTTCCTATATTGTGGATGTAATTTAAATATTTAATGGCATTTTGGATACATTGTATGTTTAGCTAAATAAAGAAAATAAAAGTGTGCAAAAAACTGTCATTATTCGTTTTATCTTCTTCCTCAATCTTTACCCCCATCTCTCGTCTCCCACACCTAGCTTCGCCACTTCCGCTGTTGCTTATCGTCCAAGCAGCCAATGAAGAGTTCCCCCACTGAATGAGTTCCTCTAAATTGTCCAGATTTTGCCACATCAAACATTGTCTTCTTCCTCAATCATTATTAGTGATGATTTTTTTAAAAAATAAATTGTCCAGATTTTGCCACATCAAACATTATCAAGAAACCTTGTCATCTATCATTGTACAAGTAGATTAATTCATATAATTGACATCCCTAAAATTAATGCATCCCAAAAAGCACAAAGGGACTTGTAAGAAAAATGCTATTCATCTTCAGTGGAGATGCATCCCCAGTCTATGTGGATATAAATGATTGATGAAATTAAATGATTCACCTATCATTTAATGCCACATAGATTAGGGATGCATCCCCAATGGGGATGAATAGCATTTCTCGACGGGTAAGGATGATTGACACGTGGACCAAGATGGACAGTCCTCTTGGCTAAAGTTATGTAATTTTTTATTTTATTTTATTAAACTAAAAGCGAAAAGTGTTTATAAATAATTTTATTTGTAAATGAATAGTGAATATGTCATTAGTACTGGTAAGTTTCATAACATTTATGAATAAAAATAATTTAAATATTTATAAACATGAGTCAATTGTAAAAGACGTGAGGGACTTGACCTACCTTTTCAAATCATTAATTCTGTCCTTTCCACTGGCATCAACCTTTACCATAAGATTTTTTTTTTTGATATGAACCTTTACCATAAGATTTGATGCACCGTGGATGCAAACACCTAGAGGTGTAAAAATGGGTTGGGCGAGGCTGGGCGGGGATAACGGCCCGAGGTAAAAGTAGATCGGCCCGTGCGAGCTTCTCGGGCCGATCCGGCCCGGATCAGGTGAGGGAACAGTTGACCTGGCCAGAACTGCTGCCCGAACCGCAGGCCCGCATGGGCCGGGATGGCCCGTCGGCCAGCTAGCACCTTTTTTTTTTTTTTTTCAAAAATAAACAGTAAAAATAATTATAATGAAAATCGATAAAAGTTACATAAAAATAAAATAAATTTTACATTGATTTATTTTTCTATAAATTTTATATCAATAACTCAATAACATAAAAAC